ATATAGATATATATATATAGATGTATATCAGCCACACACACGCACACCACATATATATATATATATATATATATATAGATATATCTTTATATGTTTATAGATAGATATATATAATATACACACACACACACACACATATATATATATATATATATATATATATATATGTATATAATTAATACATCTAACAGAATCTACATATTCAATTGGTAGAAGCAATAAGCGAAAATGGTGTTGTGTTCTTAGTATCGTCCATCATACGTAATTTCGAAGTTTGAAACTGATCCCCCAACTACAACGCTAAAGTAAGAGGGTTTCAGATAGCAAGGGACACTCGAATGTCTTGGACTATACCCGCCTGCTTCGCCTGTAACGCATTCCTAGCACGGACATACGATACCTCCAAGACCTCAATCCTAATCTGAATATTCCTCACACAATGTCCCTATCTCCATACAGACAAGCAGGACAAAAAACTCAGCCCTGGGCTTACCTCCTTGTTGACATCGAGGGCTAATTGCACGTACTGCACCTCTTTGTTTTTAAATTGGACCAGAGCCTGTTTGGCCTCGTCCAGGAATGGAAAGGACACTCCATTGGAGATCTCGTGCCGACCGCTGGCACTGATGTGTGCGTTGTTCTCTGCCAGTTTAATCTCGGCGTTTTCCTGGAAGCAGTTTACGTATAATACGCAAATTACGAATATTCTGGTCAGCCCCAAAACGTAAATGCGCAATGGAATATACGTATATACAGAATACGGATATTCTGGCCCGTCTCCAAACGTAGATGTGCAACACAATTTACGTATTATCATCGTCAGCCTTGAACGCAATGGGCAATGGATTTTACGTAAGCAAAATACGGATATTCTAATCAGTTTCAGAACGCAAACGCGCAAGTTCACCACGGTGGATACCTCATATACACGTGTGTGTGGTATGGGCATTTGCATCTTATTGGCCATGGCAATCCAATATCTGCGAACACCTATACAAGGTATTGACTCCGACCACTTTCATACGAAAATCATATCCCGAAAGCAACGCACACAGGTTCATGCATTTCTCCTACCTACGCCTCTGGCCATATACTCAATAAGAGAGTGTGTGTGCGTGTTGACTCATTTACATCTGATGTTAGTACCAAGGTTAAACACACCTGCTCGGCTATTGACATAGGGGGAGGGGCTGCATCGCTCTTGAGATGGGCGAGATAGCCTTTGTAGTCCACATCGTCAATCACCGTACCAAACAAGTCATCGGTAATCAGCGAATCGCCTGAGTCCAAAAGGAGTTCAAAATTAGTGGGAAATTAGTGGGAGACTAGGGGGATACTAATGGATAATTAGAGAATGTTTTAGCTCCAAACCGTACCAAGACCTACACCGATCGATGGTAATACAGGGTTGTGCCAGGACCCAACATAAAGTGGTATATATATCATAGTAAAGCAGTAGGAGAGACAGTCTTTAACGTTCTAGGAGGCTCTCAGGCTCAGTTGTAGCAGTAGAATTAGAACACGCCTTCACACGGAAAGCCGTGTGCTGGTCCAGCCACAGATTATGGACAGTTGAGAACTGGACACTGCTACATGCACGAGGATGTTGGGTTGAGGATATGTCGGTACATGTGCAGAGCACAATCGAGGATTAACATACACTGACGCACATCACGTATCGTTATCTCCAGATGCACAGTATATGATATTGATGATATAAATAGATATATAATATATAGATATATATATACATATATTATATATATCTATATATATACATACATACATATATT